TTCCAGCATTTCATGTTCCAGACTCAAGTCTAATAAATGCTTCCATCATGGTGAGAAACGCTTATTATTGTTAATTAGTTATTTTAAATGTAGTGTTATTTCTATCCATAATAACAAGAAGAGAATGAAAAATGTATATCTATTTGTGTAAGCTCGTGTGGTACAATGGCGTAGATAGAAGACCACTGATCTGTAGGTACAGAGTTCGAATCTCTGCACGAGCTGTGTTTCTTTCTTCCTTTTTTTTCACCTCGATTTACAACTAATTATAACGCTTTTTATATCTAGCGATTCTTTTTTTAAACAGCTAGACGAACCGTACGCTTAATCGCTAGTTCTTATTGTTTTCTATCCACCATAATTTCTTACTAGATGCATCAGATATTGCATCGTGTAATCGAGTAAAACCAGATGCATCTAGATAACCCGATATGTTTTACTCTTTTATCTAGATACTTTTGCTGGAGTATCGGGCAATACCCCAGCAAGTGTATCTAGATTTTTTCGCTTACGAATTCATGATTGGGTAGAAAAGTATGTAATGCAGAAAAAAGAATGAGGACAAGCTGCGTTTTTACGTTCAGAGATTGCTTTTTTCTGAAAGTGATCGTTTTTCATGTTTTCATGGGATCAAAATTCCCGAGATACGTTCCAGATCCGTCAAATTCTCCAAAACTTATCTTGTTTCCGATCCCGTACAGCTTGCAGCAGTCTCGAACATATCCACCGACAACTGATTCTCCGTATGCTAAGTATTCATTTTCTCGAAAAATTCATCCCTTTGAAATAGTCTACCATGAGCAAGGAGCAAACAAGGTTGTGTCGGATCTTTGTGCTTATCACTTTCGTGCTGCTGGAATTCATTTTAGCACTAGAGTAGATTAGCCTCAACAGCAAAGCACCATCCTTTGACTTCCTCAAAAAATGTTCAGCGGCCCAATACCCAGAATTACAAATGAGTTTTATGATAATACAGGATAACGCAAGAATGACTGAAAAACCTGGACAAGACTCCGTTATCTATTACTAAACATTCTATGAGAACTTCATAAACTGACGGTTCGATTAGAATGGTTTCTGTTTTTCGCTCGTTGAATTTCTTCCTCAGATGGTAAACTCAATCTCAACTATGATGGAAATGCATGGTTACTACGAAAATTTGTTAAAATTTCCTTATATCGGGTAAACTACGCAGCTGGCTCCGTTTAAAACCGAAGTAGCCATTATCTATTTGACTCCTTCATTGTTTTACGGATGCATTCAACAATCTTTCAGCAGAATCTTGGGTAATTGACTGAGAGAGTAAGAATTAATCAGGTTAGTAAAGACGTGATCCCATTGACACTATGCTGGTAGAGAACGAACAAAATCTCGCAGGTACACGCGATCATACGTACCGCGTGTACCATGAATCTGTCCCTAGTCTCTTGCAGTTCCAGCTCTACGACAGATATCATTTTCATCCACCTACTTTAAGAGTGGATTTATTAGATTCGTTCGGCGAAACTCTATTATCCTGCACTGCCAAACATTTCATTCTTGAGATTCTTTCCGAATGTCGATTCTCAGAAGAATCTGTATCGGGTTTGCATTAATCCGGGACAGAATTCTAACTAATCCATTTTTTTACCAGTTTAGAATCAAATTTCAATCAATCAGTATGTCGTTTCCTAACAATTCCAGCTGAAAATAACGGAAATGCTTTAAAATCTGTCTTCTGGAATCTTGTTTTACTCATAAACAATTCAGCAGATTTATCGACTCATACAAGCTCTGCTATTTTCTCCAGTCTGCCATTCTTGAATTCATGGATTCAAATATCGTTAATGGCGATGAACAGATAAAATAAAAGGAGGAAATCTGAACTGTAATCCCAAACCGGATCGGTGGCTAACATGTCTACATTTAAGAATATGTTATACAAGAAAGTGTTTTCGAGTTTTTAAATGCAGACTTTAGAAGTCGATGTTTCATTCTTGGTTCCAAGCAGGATATGTCGTTTGATGAATGTATTACTACAAATGGCAACAGGTTTGAAAAAAGGTGTTTCGAAGGAGGAAGAAAGATACAGAGATGACATACTGTTTGTGAATCTAAGTGTTTTAATGTCTTTTAGCGCATGTGAAATGGGATGGCCAAGTCTTGCAGGCATGAACTATCGCTCCTTCCAGCTAAAGGGAATATCAAAATGCATACCTGTAGATCTTGATCCCAAAACGGAACCGACAATGACTGCCACGATGAGCAGAGTCACTAGTAAGCTGACTGGAACGATGAATCTCTTCTTTTGATACCAATGACTCCTTGTAAATGTGATGGAAAGTCTCGTCAAAAATACAGCTAGACGAAGGCGGAGTTAGACTTACTTGGTTTTTGGATAAAGATATGCACCTAAGCATAGAAATATTTCAGTTTAAAACAACCGATTGGAAGTGTTCAAAATACCTTCGAATGGAGGCTCCAGTAGCACATCTTCCGGTATCATCTGTTTCAAATGAATGATGTGGAGATCGGGCGCCGGACTGAATTGCGATTGAACCACCATGTAAGTGCCAGGCAGAAGAAGAATTTCATCTTCGGTAACGAAATGCGAATGAGCTTGTACTGTTCGACCATTAATGGCTTCGACGGAGAAGAGCGTTCGCTCACCCGTATTGCCTAAATACATGTTGTTCTCGAGTACGGTCAGTGCAGTTGTGCATGATGAAAATGCCCACCATGTCACCGGAGTGCCGGGTGGAAATTCCGCGCTCAAGTTTTTGGTTACCCCTCGCCAGACGGTCAGCTGTGGGACGCATGGTAGTTTGGCCAGAGCAGTCAAGAACAGTTTCAGATACTTGAAATAGGGTCGAAGATCCTTGCGATCCGCCGTCTTGAGGGTGTAATTGAGCATCGAATAGAGACTTCGGTGTGGTCCTTCCCATTCGATCGTGTAGAGACGAATTGCAGCGCTCTCGTCGATCGTCAGTCCGTCGGGTGGCTCTTCTGGGGTTTCGTCGAGCGCCATTTGAACGTAGACAGATAAATCGTGGAGGATGTTAGTCAGCGGAGCACATGCTTTGGAAAGTGGCAGCAAATGTTCTTCGGCGTATCCCACAACAGGATCAAGGTTCATTTTGATATCGTTGATGATCTTCGTAGTTGTCAGATTTTGTTCTTCAGTAACAGCTTCTACGACTCGACGATTTTGTTTGACAGAGTCACTAGTTGTGTTATCAGCATTATCCGCTGCTGCTGTCACTTGTCTGTGATCAACGACTGTTTCTTCTCCATTCAAGTTTAGATGCAGCCTGTCAAACTTGCGCGGTGAATCACTCTTCATCTCGACGCCTTTGCTCGTTCCTTGTCGTCGATCAGTCGTCTCTCCATCATCGAGTATAATTGCTGTTTGCTCGTTCCGAACGTCGTCATCTTTCACCAGCACCCGTCTTTTCTTCTTATGACCTTCCACCTTCTTCTGCTTTGTGGATGAGCATCGATGCTTAAAAGTCAGAGAACAATTATTTTTTGATGGCGTCATAGACGCGTAGTTATTGATAACTGAGAATCATTGAGAAATCATCGAAAGCGTAAGAGTGGCCAGTGCGTTATTACGACAAATTGTGCTGGTGAGTTTCAAAAAAAACTTTACTCTCATCTCTTACTATCGATTTCTCCTGATCGCCTGCCATATTCTTCTGTTAAAACTCGATAAAAACATGTGTGTACGTTTTGACCATAAGATTTAACTTCATAAAACTGTAATGAACGATCAAATTGCAAATACACACCTGCTCATCTCCAGGTCTGTTATTGATGGTCGGACCATCGAGTGTGATAACGTTGTTATCACCTTCTTGTTCTTCGATTTCAAAAGTCTTGATCTTCGCATGCGCTTCGCCATCAACATGGGTCTGCTTATTCGATGACTTATCAACGGACATTTTGTTTTAATGTGTGCACGCCCGTCAAGTTTGAGAAAGATAGAAAATAATGCTGTCAGATATTCGGTAATAACTCAGTCGTCGATGAGAGCACTGAAGCGTAGCACATGAAGCGCGTGTGTGTAGCGACAGAATAGAAATACTGTAGGACATATCTTTACAGCTATCATTATTATCAATAATAATTACTTTTTCTTATTTTTCTTTATGTTCTGTAAATTTACGTGCTTCACATTTGGGCATTTTGTTTAGTCTCGATCACATTTTCATCATTTTTCGTTTGAACATATATCATGTGTATTTCATCTAGTTCACTAATAACATCAACGATAGAAGTATCTTTGGAATGTGATATAATACATATAATTTTTTGATTTATGCGCAACTTTTTCCATTGGGCTACGTGCTCGAAAAAATCTAAATGATTTGTAATGTGTTGAAAAGAGTATTTAGCATCTTTTCAGTATTCACATAATCTCTTGTGTATCTATTAAGATCGTGTAACCATAGGCACATAAAACTTTGAGCAATTAATTCTTTGTAGAGCTTCACAAACGCGTTTGGGTGTTGCATCTAGAACATTAACAGAAAACTTAAAGTTGTTGCTCTTTTGTGATCAAGGATGATGCTCGTTCTCACTTCAATATGGTATAAATCTAGAACTGGATAAAAATGTTAAAAGGCCTGAATTAAATCAGGACGGAGGTTTACACATACATTACGTAATTATCATTTTGTTTTGAATCAGGGACAACTGGAATAATCTAGACTAGTGAAAACAAGAGATAACTACCTCGAGAACGCTTTCTCTGCCTGCCTTCAAAATAGTCTGCAAACAGGAAGAAAGCATGAGTGGAAATTCTGTGTCGAAAGAGGTAGTTTTTGCAAAAGCTAAGTTACGGTGACAACGTTTAGAAGTTCTTGATTGTGTGCTCTTTTGCACTCATGTTGGAAATGCTTGTATTTAATTTAGATCACAACCTTACAGATAGACTGTTAACTTTTTGTAATTGTACAATATTTCAAGTAAATCGCACTTATTAATTTGATTTTTTGTGGTTTAAGAGATGTCTTAAAACCATGTAGTAGTTGGCATTTTTGAAAAAATTATAAGGCAGGACTGGTTGATTACGATCACAAATTTCATCTAATTTGCACTGTAAATCTCTCACTTTTAACTGAGAACAGGCGTTATTTCACAGATAAGTAGATCTGACAGCTTCTTATAGAATTGTGTTAAAAGTATTTAGAAACTCATGAGGGTTAATGAATACCAGTTAATTTTTTCTGCGATTTTCCGGATACTTCACAGTCTCTACCGAATTAATTACGGTCAATTCAGCTAAAACGGCGCATGAGTTGCACGTCGATATTTCCCAACAATGCACAGAATGAATGAGACAGTGTTGCGTATCAGTTTTAATGATATTTTTTGTTCAGAGTGTCCGACCGTTAATCATGGCTGAATGTAACTGTGCA